AAGGATCTTAATACTTTTGTTCATAAAACATTTGACTGTACTGCTTGTTTAGCCTCTGTTCTTTGGCTTCCTTTATACTTCTTGCAAATGATTTCCCCTGATTTACCTTTTCCTTTCTTGGTTATATTCCACAAAGGGATTCATAACAGGGTTAATATTGAGCTTGGAAGAGTCAGGACTGAGGTGGTGTTTGTAGCAGCTTTCTCCAACAACAAAGGAAGTAGCAAAGGCCAGTACTATTCAGTTAGAAATGTCATTTTCATCAGTCAGCAAATAATTCTGGTCTGTTACCTGCAGCAGTGTTTTGGGGGAGGGGAGGGTGGAATAAGCCCACAACTCTTATCCTTTTAAACAAAAGTGATTATATGCAAGATAAGGCAGTTGAGCAGGGGAGGCAAAGCTGAGATCAAACATGGTTTGAACAATGGAAGGCTTGTATTCCATCCTATTTGTGAGCCAAGTATCGGCTAGCGAAAAACATCTAATATAATAAAAGCCTTAGTCTGTCTGTCCGTAATGCTTTTGCCCAACTGTGCATGTGTCGATTTGGGTGGGTGGGGCCAGCTGAGTTCAAACAGGAGCCCTCCGTGGCCGCCACTGCCTCCTGCAACCTCCAGTGCGGCAGCTCCTTCCATCCCACCTCCACAGAGGCTCTTTTTAAGACTCCCTGCTTTTTTTAAGCCCCCTGATCACTGTCCAGGCGGGTTTTTTTTTAATCTGCCCAGATGTCCGGGATTTCCCTTTGCTCTGGGAGTAGGAGCAGGGGGAGGGCAATGGAAGGCAGCAGGGAGCACGCAGGGACATGCTTGCACCCATGCGGTGCTCCCTGCTGCCTCCGATTGCCTCCCCCTGCTCCCACCCCTGCAGCACAGCAAAATCCCAGACATTTGGTCAGGGCAGGGGGAGCAGCGGCTGCAGCTGTGACAAGGCAGAGGGGCGGGGAGGGTTGCTTGTTTTCCAGCGGGGGGGAAAGGGGCGAGGGCCAACGGGGGCAGCACAGGTGCCAGTGCCTGTACTCTAGGGGCTAAGCAGCCACTGCCTGGGGAGGGGGGACAAGGAGCAGGGAAGAGGGAGAGGGACTGTGGCCTGGCTGCCTTGCAGGGCACTGCAGCCCTATCCCAGGGCGGGAGTGGCACAAGCCTCCCCTCCTTCCCTCAGCCTGCACTGGGGCTGGACATGCTCCGCCACTGCCTGTGTGAATTAAAGCCACCGCGCTCCTGGTCAGACAGGATGGGGACTGAGGGGCACTGAGGTGGGGGCGGGGGACTGTGGGTTGGGAATGCAGGTCACTGGCAGCATCACAGGGCTGTGGGTCGGGAGTGAGGGGGCACCAGCAGGGATGGGGAGGAGGGGCTGCAGGTTGGGAGTGAGGGGCACTATCATGGCCCAGGGGGCCAAGGTACTGCAGTTTGGTGAGTAAGAGGCACTGGCAGGGTTGGGGTCAGTGGGTTGGGAGTGAGGGGCAGCAGCAGGGCTGGGGGACCTGTGGCTTGGCAGTGAGGGGCAACAGAATGGGCGGGGCCACCCTTCGGCACCGGCCATGTAAATAGTCCTTTGAAATCCATCATTCATGATGGGCAATGGCCAGTATGAGAGAAGTCTCATTGTGTTAGAGAGACACAACTCATTTCCAGGCATGATGGTTTCAGCGAGTGTTTAATCCTTGACTTTAGTTAACTGTATATAAAAAGAAAACAGTAATTTTCAAACAGTTGAAAGGAAGGCATTTTAGATGATTGCGTCAAGTTCTTTTGTGATGAACTGAATGTTTAATTTGCATTTTAGTAACCTGTTTCATTTTTCAGAGTCACCATGAATACAGATTCTAATTCAGGGGTGGGCAAAATATGGCCTACGGGTCAGATCTGGCCTGCCAATTGATTGTATCTAGCCTGTGACTGCCCCTGTGGTGCTTTGCTTAGGCATGTAGTGCCTTGCACGTGTCCCCACGGCCACCACTGCTTTCCTATGTTGCCTGCTGCCTGGAGGGGTGCAGCAAGAGGAGGAGGAGCTGCTGGAGGTTGGGGGTAGCCGAGCAGTACCCAGATGACTGCAGAAGCAGTGGGTGCAGCCCCGCCAGGAAACTGCATACTGGCCCAGGGCAGTGCCATCAGTGGATCTGGGGCAGGTGTGGATGGGAGGATGGTGTAGGCTGCCGTAGGCAGGAGCAGGTGAGGCTTGGTCTCATGCGGAGTGGTGTGGGGCCAGCTGCAGGCCAGAGGGGAGGGAGGGACACAGATCACACCTGCACCCTACTGCCTGGGTGGGGTGAGCTTTGCTGCACATGTACCCTGTTGGCACTTGGGAACAGAGGGTCTCTAATCTCAAATATACCCCTGTTACTTACTGATTGTTCTTATATAAATTGCTTTCTCACGCTGCTTTCGCTTTTTACAAATGACAGTAGCATTAACTCACTGATCTACTTCTTGGGCATTCTGTGATAAATTCTCATTTATTTTGAATAAAAAGGATATTCAAAGGCTCTATATTACATGTAAGGAACAAGCCATCATCTAAAATACTGACTTACTTTACCAGGCAGTGGGCTCCCTGTCTAGCTGTACAAACTGAGCTGCTTATACAATAAGATTCTGTGGGTGTATCTACATGTGTTATTAATCCAAAGTAGGTTTACTGCACAGTAAAAAGACTGTGCAGTAAGCCTACCTGGGAGCAGATTTGTTCACAATGGGAGAAGCCTGGTACAGGGCTGCTCCTGCCCTGCTCTGCCCCCCTGCAGCAGCCAGGGGGAGCTCCAGGCTCCTCCTGGGTGCTAGCCCAGGGGCTGGCAGGAGGTCTGCCAGCTGCAGCAGCAGCTGTCTCCTAACCCCATACACATTGGGAGGGGTCGTGATATGCACAGGGCCAGAAGACAGCTGCTGCAGAGCTCTCCTGCCCCAGGCACTTGGGCCCAGTGGGGCTTTGTAGTGCAGCCTGGGGCTGTCCAGAAACTGTCCCGTTCTGGGGCATGTCCCAGCCAGGCTGTGTGGAGAGTTCAGTCCTCGCTTGTCCCCCAGATTAGTCAACTCTGCAGAGGAGCTGGGACAGGGGTCAGAGAGCTCTCCAGTCTTGCTGATTAGCTCCTGTGGGGAACTGGGGAAATGAGCAGCCCCAGGACTGAGGGCTCCCTATCCCCTGTGGCTCCTTGCTGTCTGGTCTGACTAGGAGCAAATTTGTTCCTGGACAGCATCTACATGTGTTTTCCTGCTCAGTATCTACTGCACAGTTAATTTACTACCTTTTTTTATGGACTAGCCAATTGTCCATCAAGATTGACGGGCGGGGGGACCCGCTTTCCTCACCCTCGCCCCTGCAGCTTCAGAGTTGGGCCCATTCTGCCCCCCCCCCATTTTGGGGCTGTTGTTGGGGCATGGCAGCAGCAGCAGTGGTGGGGTGCTACCACCATGCCCCCTCATGCCCTCTCCCTCCTTGTCAGATTTTGCCAGGGCCTGGTGTTTCCACGCTCGCTTTCCTCCCCCCCAACCCCCCATGTCAGGCCTTTCCCTTGCTTCTCATCCAGTTGGGAGAGTGCAGGGGAATGGGCCTGCTCCTCCCCTCACTCCTGCTCCATTGCCACTGCCTGCAGTGAGTAGAGGGGTAGCAGGCCAGCTGTGTTGGCCTGGCTGTCTCCCTACCCCCACTCTATCCCCTGTGTCCCCGCCATCATGGCAGCACTCCGCCACACCATCTCCTGTCTGAACACTCTTGGAGCACTCTGGTTGGTTGGTTGTCAGTCAATCGGAGTGCAAATAAAGCATTATGGACAGACAGACAGACTAAGGCGTTTATAATATTAGAATAGTAGCTAATTGCACAGTAGACTAATTTTACTGCACAGTAAATATGAGTACATGTAGACGCTGTGCTTTGCTGCTCAGTAAAGTATCTGGTGTAGATGCACCCCATGTGCATTCTGTCCTTGTCTTATGCTGCTAATAGCAATAGAAAATGTTAGACTAGATCAGCTAGATGGGTCTTATTGCCTGTGTTTTGATTGCACTAGCATTTCCTAGAAAGTGGGAGAAATCCTTTTAAATTTCTCTTCAGGTGAAGTCCAGTAGTGGATCAAATTCTCGGGAGGCCTAGTGAGCCTTGAGGGTTTGTTTTGAAAGGAATTGGAATGAGAATGGAAGTATTTGTTAACTAACTATTCTGGCATTGCTGAGAAACTTGCATAAACTCCACAAAAACAAAGTTGGGAGATGACGTTCCAATATTTTAAGAAATGCCATTGTATTTTTCTTTAAAAATGGGACTACTGTTTTATGAAGCATGGAAGAGGTTCAACCTGTTCAAAGTACTTTGAGAGCTTTGCTTGGCAAGTGCAAACTCTCATCAAACTCTAACCAACTGTAGATGCCACAGAGAGGCATTGCAGTTGCCATGTGTTCTTGAATTACATTGTGGGCCAAGTGGCCCAGTTTTATAAATTACATTGTGGGCCAAGTGGCCCAGTATATAGTATCGGCACTTGAACTTAAGAGAGACTTGGGAGAAAAATATTTGCTGTTCTACATAGGCTTTGTTACTCAATGTGGATGGTGTGTTTCAAAGTCTACCAACAGGCAATATCTGCTGGCTGCTAATAGTAAAATCATAATCATAGTATTTGAGTCCTGCAGGTGTCTCAGCAGTTTTCTCATCTCCTTTTTTACTGTCATTTGCATAATGACACTTCTGAGAATGAGGAAAATTTATTTGCTTATGTAACTGGCATTGTCCAGTGGGGGTTACAAAGAGTAACTATGAAGTGAATTGCCTATCACTTGGACTTAACTTTGTAACTGGAACTAATATGGCTAATAGTAGCAACTCAGTGGAGTTATGGTCCACGATTAGATCCAGATGCTACACTAATAAAAATAATCATATTGGGATGTTAAATTGATACCACTTTGAGCAAGGTGATGAAGTCTCTGTTGATACTTCTGGAAGCATCACGCTTTCCATGGGGTGCTGCAGCACCTTCATTATTCTTTCTTTCCTTTTTTCCCCAGATGAAATAAAAGCAGAGCTAGAAAAGCCAAGGTAAGTGTCTAATTGCTACATCATGTTACAATTTTTATTTTTGACCATTTGTCAACATCTACATGGTAGTGAATATGTAAGTATCTAAGTAGTAATAGGTGCAAACAAGTTATTGGAACAAGTTTATGAATGTGCTCCTGGCAGAAAAGGGTGAGTGGGGGGGTGAAATGTCCTAATTATGAAATACTTGTGTCCCTGGTAGTCAAACCATAACTGCTATTGTAAGTCAGATTATTGCTACACTTCCTCAGGATGTGGAAAATTAGCATCCTTTCTTTTAACTGGATTTTTCCTTCAACAGATTATGAAGAAATTGTGCATGTTAATGAAGTACACTTGTTGTCTCGTGTGTTCAACTATGTATGCTATTATTTGTCTGGACCAAAGATACCAGTTCATAAAAGTATTTAATTAGATATCTATTAATCAAGTCTCTGAATTTCTTTCTAGCATTATCAACTTTGAATTTGAATTGAAACTGAAAGGTGGGATGGTTTTCATGGAAGAAAGTGTATGGTGTTTTTATATGAGATCATGAGCACTTAAGGATTTGGTGCAAAACAAAGTATTTCACTAGAGATTTGTACACTCCACAAGCTTTTTTCAGGATAGCAGAAGATGTTTAATAGCTTAGACTTTGCTTTTTTACTCAGACTATATTAGTTGTCTAATAAATTATCAAAATATAATCCAGAAGCTACAGTTTATTTTTTCTCTGCAAAGTTGGAGAGAGCAATTGTTAAGGCCTGTTTACTACTTATCTCTAATAGGATCTGTTTCTAATGAAACACTTTGACAGCAAGGTGAAAAAGCATTATTGATTTCAAAATGGATAAATAGCAATTAAAACTTGTTTGTGGAACTCAGTCATGAAGATCTGTCCTTTGTCTTTGCTCAGATTTTAAAGGCATCATTGTCTTACCTACTTCTGCTACTAAGAGTAGAAATATTTATCTTGGTCTCAGTATCCGCTTCCCCCCCCCAACTTGCAACCTGGAATTCATACTTCGCCCCCAGCTTACATATCAGGAATTCATACTTGCTTTCTAAAGAACCTACAAAAATATGGCCTGCTGGCCACAGACCGAGCATTTCATCCATTTATTAGCTCTCTTGCAAGTTAGTTGATATCCAGCTATTTTCAGGTAAATTGGCAATTTAACTAGAATAACATGAAATGTCACTTTGTATGGCCCTTTCTGTACCTGCTCTTCATGGCTGCTACACATGTGCTCAGAGGGTGGGCATTTTATTTAGAGTGGCTCCTGGACAGCTGCTCTATTTAAAATGGCTCACCATCATGTTTATTGGGCCCCTGTGCATTTCAAAATGGCTGTGGGATGCCTTATCTAAAGCTCATTTGATGAGGTTTAGATAAAGCGTCTCTGGCCATTTTGAAATGAGGGGGCTTTATACACATGATGGCAAGGTGATGCTGGAGCTTTCTCATTCGAATGAAGAGCAGACTCAATCAAGTCTAAATTAACTCCTTCACCTTAACGATTAATCAGTACTGCTGTGATGCATTCTAACTAGAACACGAATGAGAGTGTCTGTAGGCACACTTGGAGAATCATTGAGGAAAGAGTAGGCTTGTTTTCTCCCCTCCCTCCCCACCCCCCACTTCTCATTTGTATTTGTTAAAATTAGGACCAATTCTACTAAAGCCATGATATCTTCGAATAAAATGCATGGAAAGTGAATCGGGTTTTGTGTGTGCTATTGGTGATGGACATATCAAAATGAATAATGGAGAGAGAACTTAAAGTCTGTTTTTGGTACACTGCTTGTAGTGTGATTTTGATAAAAGTGTGTGTTTAGTTCTTTGGGGATAAATCTGCATGTTCTTTACATAATGCTGACTCAAATGGCACAGAGCAGTCATTTTGATGTGGAGGAAGTGCAGTCATTTTTAGGACAATTACTTTTTTTTCCTTCCTAACTCAGACAAGGCACTGCTGCCCCACCAAAAGCAAACTTCATTGAAGCAGATAAATATTTTCTTCCGTTTGAGCTGGCCTGTCAGTCAAAGTCCCCACGTATTGTCAGTACCTCACTGGACTGCTTACAGGTGAGTCTTCTGTTTAAACTTGAATAATATGAGACATGGGCAGACTGGCAGGTATAAAATCTTGACATTCACTGTAGAAATCATTAGGGTGAAGGAGTTAGTTTAGCCAGGATGCATACAATTCCCGAGTTGTACTATTCTGTATTTACATATGTACACGTAAGGCTTTACAAAACATGGTTGAAACTGCTCTGTGCTGAAAGCGGACATTGTTAAAGTGGGAAATGTGTGCGGTTTCCCTTGGGGTCTTCCCCAAAAAAGGTTGCTTTCATTTGGTCTTCACTTGAAGAAGTTTCTGAACTGAATAAATATGCATCAACTGCAGATTCATTTTGTTTTTGTGCGTTTCAACATTTTCTGTCACCGTGTAAAGCCTTTTCCATAAAGAGTTGCAGCAGATACAATAGCCCCATTGGAAGTGCTTGTATCAAACTCAAACTGCCTTCTAGCGGTTACTTCCAGTCAATTGAGTTTTGCATGAAGGATTGATCAGTTGGTTGGATTGTGTTCCCTTGTCTTCTGTCTCAAATGAGTTAAAAAAAATTAACTTCTTGAACAGAATTAGTCTGTCTGGTATTTTTAAAAACGAGCCCTTTGAGTTGTTATTAATATCAGCAAATGGCGATTAAAGACCTATATTTTAATGGCTGTAATGCAGATTGATATGATGAAGTCCTTTTGCTTCATGCATAGCAATTTTAGACTGGCACATTGCTTGCAAAGGAGGTGCTGCATTGTCTCAATATGGAAAAACAAGTTTCAAATTCTTTAAAAGTGTAGTCTGCCTAGAACAGGTGTGGGCAAAGGGGAGGATCTGGCTGGTAGCCGGACTCCATTTCCCAGCAGCCCTTGCCCACATCACTGCAGCCAGTTTCCATGGAAGGGCTGTGATGGTGTGGGACTGGGTTTCCATGGAGACTGGCCCAAACTTTGCTGGTAGAGGGTGCGTGGCTGGGCAGAGAGCTGCACTGGGACTGGGGCTGGGATTTTGTGGTGATGGTGGTCTGGAGCTGGGGCAGAGCCATGATCCACTACCTATGTGCCCCAGGGCATAGACCTAACCAAGTAGATGGGTTCATATTTTGTGAAAAGTCAAGCGTCTCCTCCTAGAACAGTCCTGTTAGTTCACGGAATCGTATATTAAAAAAAGGGCTTCTGTGTTACCCTGCAGGTGTTTGGTACTTGACAATGTGTGATGTTCTAATTTGTATTATCTCTGCTTAGAAACTCATTGCTTATGGGCATATCACTGGCAATGCTCCAGATAGTGGAGCTCCTGGAAAACGCCTCATTGACCGGATAGTGGAAACCATTTGCAATTGCTTTCAGGGACCTCAAACAGATGAGGGAGTTCAATTGCAAATAATAAAGGTATTTCACTTTGATATTTCTACGTTTACATTAAGAACTTCATTTGCTTATTGGAAGATTCCTTCATCCTGTGCTTTAAGGTGCAACAACAGAGTTCTTAAATCTGCAACTTCATTTAAGGACCAGTTTCTCCACTTGTTGCACTTTATCCTAGCCATAGGCATTTTGGGAGGCTGTCAAATCAGTAAGGAATTGGG